CAAATTGATGAGACAAGTGCCAGTTTCTGATGGACCTTGTGGCCAAGGAAGAGTTTAATTTCAGACACAAAGGCAGAAATTTAAATGGATCCAGGATTGGAACATGCTTTTCTGGGTTGACTGCTCATGCCATGAAGCAGCCTAGCCCGTCAGAAAGCCTCATCATATTAGATTAGTCCTCATGACAAAAGCATGATCCTTGGGCAGCCAAAAAGCATTAACACGATTCCTTATCAGGCTCCATGTTAATTCAGACCACGATTGGAAAGCAGATTGACTCATGTGGCCTTAGTAAAATATGAACCGTGGGAGGAATCATTATCTGTCAAAAAGAACTATCAGTTTTTAAAAATAAAATATTGATATAATAAACACAAAATCAAACCAGCTGAGAAACAAAACATAATTTGTATTTAAATCAGATTAAATTAAAAAAAAATCAACAGAGAAGGAAAAAGATGAGATTATAAATAGCACGCATATAGGTATGTGAATAAAAATATTTTCACATAGCTTTTAAATTTTAAGATAGAAACACTTGCCTTTTTTTAATAACATTCCCTTGCACCTCTCAGAATAAAAAACACCCTGACAGCATCACACTTCTGCTAAGAGCCTCAGCAGCAAAATGTATTCTCAGCATTCTTGATTGTGCAAACGGATTCATTTGCAAAAATACAGAAATTCCTCTGCATCTGGATTTGGCACCTACAGCCAGAAAATGAAACTTCTTCAGAAGTTTTTTTCAGTTTAAGATGTGTGCTGTGTACCTGATAACTGCTCCAGGCTTGTTACCCTGGATTTCTTGTTCTATTACTGTTCGCTTTTAGTTTTGTTACTATTTTTAATTTCAAAACACTATTAATCACAGAAAGGACTGATGACATCATTGTAAGAGATACATAGAAGAATAATAATTTTAAATGGAACAATTTGAAGACTAGTTTTAGATTATCTTTAAAAACATAAAATATTTGTCATTAATAGTTTCTGAAAAACATGGAAACAAAAGCTGGTGGGGTGATGGCAATTTATTACTTTTTTTGGTCAGCATGACGATGCCTACTAATATGGGAAGCCTAAGGCTTAAACATAACTGTGATCTCTCCGACAGCATGAGAGAGAGAAGTCTTCTTTTGCTCTACTCTCAAATTAAAAATTCTCAAATACTTCATATCACTTTTTTTCCTATTTATCCTTTTTCTGCATTTTGACTGTTTATGCGGAGGATAAGCCAGACTCTTTCCTTTATTACATGAAACAGAGGCTGATTTAGGAAGGACATTTGGCTTGCAGGGTCTGAAATTATGGTCATTAAATAAGGCATATCTTCATTGGCCTTCTGTGATGAGGTCACCAGCTGGATGGATGATGGGAGAGCAGTGGATGTTGTCTACCTTGACTGCAGCAAGGCTTTCGACACAGTCTCCCATAACATCCTCATAGGAAAGCTTAGGAAGTGTGGACTGGATGAGCGGACAGTGAGGTGGATTGAGGACTGGCTGGGTGGCAGAGCCCAGAGGGTGGTGATAAACAGGGCCAAGTCTGGTTGGAGGCCTGTGGCCAGTGGTGTCCCGCAGGATCAGTACTGGGCCCGGTGCTCTTCAACTTGTTCATCAACGACTTGGACGTGGGCACAGAGAGCACCCTCAGCAAGTTTGCAGATGACACCGAACTGGAAGGAGTGGCCGACACCCCAGAGGGCTGTGCTGCCATTCAGAGAGACCTAGACAGGATGGAGAGTTGGGCAGAGAGGAACCTCATGAGGTTCAACAAAGACAAGTGCAATGCCCTGCACCTGGGGAGGAATAACCCCAGGCACCAGGACAGATTAGGGGTTGACTTGCTGGAGAGCAGCTCTGTGGAGAGGAATTGGAGTCCTGGTTGACAACAGGTTAACCACGAGTCAGCAATGTGTCCTCGTGGCCAAGAAGGCCAATGGGATCCTGGCTGCATCAGGAGGAGCGTTGCCAGCAGGTGGAGGGAGGTCATCCTCCCCCTCTCCTCAGCTCTGGTGAGGCCACACCTGGAGCACTGTGTGCAGTTCCGGGCTCCCTAGTACAAGAAGGACATTCAACTTCTAGAGAGGGTCCAGCGCAAGGTCACGAAAATTATTAAGGGACTGGAGCATCTATCTTTTGAGGCAAGACTAAGAGAGCTGGGCCTGTTTAGCCTGGAGAAAAGAAGGCTGAGAGGAGATTTGATTAACTTGGTCAAGTACCTGAGGGGTGATTGTAGGGAAGATGGGGCCAGGCTCTTTTCCATAGTGGCCAGTGACGGGACGAGGGGTAATGGGTGTAAGCTGAAATACAGGAGTTTAATCTCCATATGAGGAAGAACTTCTTTACTGTGAGGGTGACAGAGCCCTGGAACAGGCTGCCTCAAGAGGTTGTGGAGTCTCCTTCTCTGAAGATCTTCAAAACCTGCCTGGATGCCACCCTGTGCCATGTACTGTAGGTGTCCCTGCTTGAGCAGGGGGATTGGACTAGATGATCTCTAGAGGTCCCATCCAACCTCAACCATTCTGTGATTCTGTGATTCATTTGACAGGTCTCCGCTAGGACCCAGATAAGACATTTCAAAATATGAACAGATCCTGAAGAAGAGTTTAAGATTGATCTCGTTGACAGGGAGAGTTGGCAGTTTTGATCCTATCCTGTCAGCAAAAGGATATAGCAGAACCGAGAAAAGTTCAAAGAAGGGCAGCAAGGGTAACATGCAGGAGGGTTTCTGTGAGAGGAGCAAGCACGTAAAGCAGCACTTTTCCGCCTCCAGAAGAGATGACCTGGGGGAAATGCAAGAGACCTATGAAATCTGAGCTGGCCTGGGGCAGTGGGTAGGGATCTAAGGTCTGCTGTCACTTCCAACACAAGAAAAGAAGCTAGGGTAGATAAGCAAACACAAAACAAAGTGGAAAAACAAATAAGAAAGGATAGTTGGAAAAACTTGCTGCCAAAGTCATGGGCTGCATGTTGCACATGCAAAAAATTTACATAGGTTCAAAGGGAGACTGAGCAAATACCTGGAGGAGACAACTCTCGGAGGTTATTATGTAGGCAGAAACTGTAACCAGGAAATCCCTAAGCCAAAGGTAGCTTGAGGCTGGGAGAGTACTCCGGGTAAGAATCACATGTACCTGCTTCCCTGTTCTGACTCCCTCTTCCAGGAGCTGCTTGTGGTTCCTGCTGCAGACAGGACACAAGGCAAACAGACCCTCCACCTAATCCCTTACGACTATTCTTAATTAGTGATTAACACATAAGCCTACAGTCTTTCTTTTAAAAGCATGACTGTGTATTTATTTCAGATGTATACACTGACCATTTCTAACTCAGCTTTCACAGAGCAGAGTATCAGTGCACAGCAAGCCACCTGCTTTGATGTCAATGAAAAGCTCTCCAAATGTTGCTTATCAGTTCTCAGCTCACATTGGAAGGAGAATTTCAGAGCTGAGCTACCCTGTGTGGTCTGGGGGCAGGCACCCATGTACGCATCACACTGCACATGCAATGCTGGCCGCTGCTAGACATCCGTGTCTGAGTCTCACGTGAGAGCCACATAGAGACCTGCAAAGTTCTCACCTACTTTGTATAACATCAGAGCAAATATATGTTTTCCAGAACACCTTGGTGCAATGAATCCCATAGAGGACTTGCTGACAGCACTGACAGGACGAAATGAATTCTCTGCATGCACAGTAACTATACTGTGCTACCAGCTTGTTCATTAAAAAAAAAAAAAAGAAAGAAAAAAAAAGAAAAAAACTCTAAAGCCAGACCTGGTTGGGGTCTTCAAAATTTCCCCCCCAAAAAGCCTGACATATCGGTGACCTCTCCACCCTGACCCAACGGGCCAGGGGAGACCAGCAGTGCCCCTCGGCAAATGGCCCCGGGCGGAGCTCAGCTCCCTTCTCCCTGGCACCTTTACATTGCCCAATCCTGCCCCTTTTTTTTCTCATTTCTTGTGTTTGTCAGATGTCCAAATACCCTTGACAGAAGCTGTCCTAGATTGCTGAGGAGTAAGTAAACCACTGCGCTAAGTTTATGAGCATGGTATGATTTACAGCTCAGCCTTCAGGTTGTGTCACTGTATATGTTGGAAGATGAGAGTCTATAGGAAAGCAACATTTCAGTTTATTACCTTTGAGAAAAAAACATGCCTTCCTCAGCAATTCATATGCAAGCTACGCTGTCTACTCACAGCAGTTTAACTGCCCTCTGGTGTCTTTCCTCAAAAAAACAGTCTTTACTTGTACCATCAATCAGCTGTGAACAGAATCTCCACGACAAAATCTACCAGCACAAAAGGAGCTCTAGTGTAAAACTGCACTTAGTTCAGCGCTCAGACACGGGAAGACTGTAGGCAGTGTCTGAAGCACCAAGAAGAGCAGTGCACCTGTATGACTCTATCACCCATGTCACATCATGCGTGTAAGGGCACTGCCCTGCAGAAAAGGGCACTTCAGCAATTAAATCCTCTGCTTTTAAACAGTACCAAGATACAAGTACTAAATCCTTCCATTAAGATCTTTTCATTATGGACGTATTAGGCATCATCATCTTCAGATTAGTTCCAACTAGCACCAGCCTTGAAGAGACAACAAGGTGAAATCGCCTCCGTTTCCTGCCTGAAAATGAGGGTGCTAGTACTAAGTATAGAGTTTTCACTGCCACAGATTATGCAGTCTTGGTAAGAGGTCTCTGCAATACTGGGCTTTAACTGCCCATCAGTTTCTCATGTTAGGATCAACAACTTTCTGCCTGTCAAGTTTCCAGCACAGTTTCAGATCTTATGGTAATAATTTCACCTTTCTGTCAAGTTAGCCTGCGCCCCATACGGAGCTCGTTTCCAAAGAGTAACCTGTCATTACAAATAACGTGCTACCAAGGTTACATTTTTTAACTGCAAACTATTTTAAAGCTATTTAAATGCAGCGCGCACACAGCACAAGTACAGGCAAAGCGAGGAGTGGAGAAACGGGATCTGAAACGGGCTCTTACCCAGAGATCTCTCCTTGGTTTGGTTGGCCGACCTCACCACGGGCAGGCTGGCGCGCGTGCGGCTGCCGCGGGAGAACGGCGTTGGAGAGTCGCCCTCCGACATGGCTTCCAGGGAGTCCCCCGACGCTTCGGAGAGATGCTCCGTCTGATCACCCAACGTGGGCTGTGGGCTCTGCGGCGGCTTTGGGCTTCTGGTCTGCAAAACACAGTGTGTCATTACTGGTCTGTTGAAGCATGAATGTATGGGGAGAAAACAAAGAGAATGTCCAAGTCCAGCCTTCTTCAGATCCTGGTATGTGAAGGTGACCTCTGTGCATTTAAGAAAATAGTGTCCTTGGGATTTTTGTTAAGTTTTTATTGCCGTACATTCACAGTGTAAATTTTGTTACTAACAGCTCTCTGGGGATAAGAAGTGCTGCGGAGATGCATGGTACTTCCAATTCTTTGCTGCTCCAACAGCCACTTTACACAGGGTGGGTACGTGTGCAAGCATGTGTACAGGCGTGTATATGTACACACACAACCTGAACGTGTAAGACCAGAAACTTACTCGTGGTGCTTTTAAACCCGTAGTACTTAGAGGCATCAGCAACACAGCAGCATGTTAACTTTACTTAAGCCATCTGGATCTATATTTATAATAGAGAAAAACTTAAACCGCTGTTCTTATCTTGCCAAGTCTACTAAGAAAAATACCCCCAAAATAAATGTTATGAGATAGTAGTTAGCTGTCAATCTCAATACATTCTGCTGTGCAATCTGTAAAAGGTACAGGTCATGCAGCAAGGCCTGTTAGCTCTCTCACATTTCTACCTGAAGTCACAAATATTTTTTCTGCTTTTAGTTGCGCCAGCATAAATCAGAATTGTCTTAACTGACCAAATTACCTATGATTTTTACTGGGCAATCATACTTACTAGTAAATTGCTAAACAGTACCTAAAATGACAGACTCTCTCTCTTGCTCCATCTCCATCTAAGCCCTTATACTGACCCTTATCTCTGTAAGATCTGCCTAATAAAAACATGCAGTGGGAGATAAAATGTCCTGAACATTTTTTGCTGACTGCAAAAAGCACTTGTATTGTCACTTATAAAGAGGGGCTGCATTAATAAATATAGTGACCTCTGTTTGCCAACCCCCCTCAGCCATCTGTTACTATTATTCTGGAAGAGTAATTTTCCAGTCTCTCAAGCAAACTTAATACTGTAACAGACTGGGACAGATACTGTACAGCAGAAATTCAAAGCAAAAGAAGCTTACTTTGTCCCAAAACAAGTATGAAAATATGAATTTTAAAATTCGCATTATCAGCAGCAGGCACAAGATATCACAAAATATGTTTTCTTTCACCTATCATTTACGGTCTAATATTAGTATGTTAAAAATTCTTCGTATTAAAATCAACTCCAACTTGAACTTTGAACTTTCCGTCATAATCCAGAGAAGTTTTTCTTTCTTTCCAGAAAGCCCAGGTGACATTATCTGGCTGATAGCCTGTTCCTTCAGCAGATTTTCAAGTGAGATGAGGCGAGCTTGTTTCAGCCACAGCATGGGTCATAAAATATTCCCCATGCAACCTCAAATGAACGAACGACTTTTACTTTGTCAGATTTTTCATTCAAGGCCGCAGAGCCCCTTTGTTGCCAACCTGTCCATTTCCTCACAGATTACAATAACGTAGAAAAACCTCAGGAGAAAATTAAACCCTCCAGAACTTTTCTGTATTGAAAAGTTAATACTAAAAAATATTAGGTATTATCCAATGTCCTGCAGTGAAACTGTTCAAAAGCTTTAAATTTTTGCAGGAGTTAAGCTAATGACACTTGTTCGCAGCAACTAAAGTATGCTTTGAAGTGCCCCTGACAGGGGCAGCGCCGGTCTGCAGGTTGTAAGCACAAGGGCTTGCACCCTGAAAGCTCTCAGGGGCGGTGAGCGGCCTGCAAACATTAAGAAAGAATTTGATTAGTCAGTGCTTCTTCATTCAGCTTTCCGGAAACCTCTTGGGAACCATCACTCCTGAAGCTATTTTGTTTACATAGGCATATTACAGGGGTACCAGCAAACCAAGTCATTACAATTTCTTAATTCCTCTTCCTGATTACTACATAACTGAAATACAAAGCAGAGAGCAATATCATGAAAAAAAATCCAGCTGCAAAAAGTCTCAAAGTTCGGAGTCTGTAGGGGAGAGGATTGCTTTTGGTTCCTGAAGAAAAAGTATTCTGGTTAAGATGAATCACACATTTTGCTTCATTTTTCTTTCTCCTTTGCTTGAATTCCCAGATCTTGTTCAAGACACTCAGGTGCATGCACGACATCTACCCATGCATACAACGAGATGCAGACGCCAGGCGAAAGCGGGTGCGGGTGCTGCAGCCCCCATCAGCAGCAGTAGCTGGACACAGCTGCAGCTGTGATTCCTGGTGCTCCGTGAGCAGCTCCTTAGGACGGGGCTCACGGTGTCTGGGGCTGTCCTGTGACAACCCTGTGTGCAACAGCTCTCCTGCCACTGCCCAAACTCTGCTGCACGAAGAGCCTTGCGGGAGATGAGCAGAGCTGCGTAGGGTCACGCAGTCAGCTGTGCTCAGACATGATGCCCAGGCCTCCTCCTAGGACACCCTGGGGTAGGAACACGCTGTTTCCACTACAGCATGTGGAGCAACACAAGTGTGAAACCAAAGGAAACTCTTAATGCGATCCACGACATATAAACATACACTTTGCTAAAGGCGTCAAGATATTTGTCACAATCAGCTAACGTAAATGTAGTATTTTGGGAACAATTCTGAATTTTAAGCAGATTGTAAAAAATCTCCGAACATAGCAACAACAGTTCAAGTAAGTGAGAGATATGAGGGCATTTTTGAGAGGAAAGCATTTTTAGTACTGGCAATGAGCAATAATAATTGAGCATATTTCAAGGCAGTCCTTCTCAGAAAAACCAGCCCAGGAAGAAGGGAGAGGACAAGCAATGTCTTTGGAGCCATAAGCTACAAGGATTTGTAAAAACAGATGAAGGAAGGAAGACAAAACCTTTCTGTGTTGTGTCAATATTCTGTATGTTGATTCCAAAATCCAATATGATAAATAAGACAGGTAAGAAAGAAATAATTGACTAAATCCTACCATTCACATTGTTTTACCCAGGAAATGTTGACTAGCATATTTATAATTATTCAAACATTCAATATTTCAGGAAATGCCCCTTTAAATGCTGAGTTTTCTAGAGTTACTGTGCAGTAAAGGCAATTACAAAGGTAATGCACCATAATCCATGTTTGAGAGACCACCAGAACCCAAGTCAAGCAGCAGTGTGGACTGCTGCTCCTGAAGGTGGGACAAGAGTGTAACTGCATGTTACATAAATCCTATGTCTGGGCGGATGTCACCTTAATATGCTTGCTAGCAAAGAGAAAAAGGCAAAGTAGTCAACCCAGAAGAAAACGCAGGCATTTCACAAAAGAATAGGGCAAACTCAAGTCATTGTAACAGAAGCTCCACACATGAATACAAAAGCAAGGAAACACCAGTACCTTACTAGCCTCACCTGGCATAAGTGTTGGAAAATAGAAGAGGACTCAGAACAAGCCAGTGGTGTCTGCGTTTTCCCATATGCCAATGCTAGTTATTAATTTCCTACTATTTTATTTCATTTTATTAACATAAAAGGATACACACCTCTGTAACCTTTTTAAGGTATGCACTTCATTAAAATATAGAGAGTAGCAGTTACAGAAGGTAACTCTTAGTATTTTAACAAGGATTAAAATCGTGGTTAATCATGCCTCATGCTTGTATGTCCAAACTACACAAATTTAACACATTAGTTCTTTCACAAAGTGTGAAACTGCTGCAAAAAAGTACAGGGCTCTTTGAATTGAATAACATCTCAAATAAGTAACAGGAGAAACAGAAGGTACCTGAAAAAGGAAAGGTGAAGTGCTGCAGATGCCAAACAGAGCAATACAGTGAGCAGTCACTGGGCACCAGAGATGTCCCTCGCAAGCTGATTCTTCTGTTTCTCTTCCACTAATCCCTTTACCCTTTTGTTCTACCCAGTTTTATTACTCTGCTCCTTAGAACTTCCTTCCAGACTCATTTCCGGTTGTTTTTCATACTAATCAATATATCTGAAAATTTTTACATTCTTTTGCTTTTCAAAATGCCTCCTGCAAATTTACTCCATACATTTTCACATGTACACACACACACACAAAAGCAAAAAATACCCTTCCAAAATCCCATAACCTGAAGCAGGAATAATTTTACATCTTCCACAATTTGCACTTCTTATTTCCTGTCTCCAGGAATTTCCTCAGACTTTATCTAAACACACTGCTATCTCTTCAGGAGAAGAATCTTATCATACACATCTTCCAAATTGCTAGCACTGTTGGCAAGGTAGTAACAGTAAACAGAGACATCAAAACATGATACAGCCCTAGTAAAATAACTCTATCCAGCCATGTGCTCTAAAGAATACAGCATAGGGAAAAGAAAAAAAAAATCAACATTTCCTTGACATTTCAAAGAAGGAAGACAAATCAAAAGAAAAAACAAAAACTGTTTTTCTTGACCTTCCAGTAAAATGTTTCTCCTGTGACTGGGCCAGAAGATGGCTACTGGATATGTGACAGACTGCAGATATGCATAAGAACTCTCTGTATTTAATCTATGAGTTTATTAACTCAGAAATATTGTCATGGTACAGCTCTTACCATAACAATAATACTTCTTCATCATGCCATTTGTCAGATCACTTATTTGAAGGAAGGATCCACTTTTTCAAAGATGCAGAGTCTTTGGGGTCCTGTACTGCTGCACCCATCCAGACATTCGAGGAGGGGGCCTAGGGCAGATCCTCTCCTGTTCCAAGGAAGGGAGGACACAGACCCTTCAAATTTTGCCCAAGTAAGGCAAAGAATGTTCCCTTTCCCTCTCAGCACCACCAGGTAGGCAGCAAAGATGAACTCATCCCACGACACCGAGCGCCACAGGGAGAGGCATTAAGACTTGATAAGGCTCCATCACATCAACGTCTTATCAGAGCCCATTACTGATAGCGTGTCGGCATGTCACCCTGAGCGATTATTTGCCTCTTTTCTGTGAATTTATCTGAAGACAGAGCTCCTTGCTGCTCCTGACAGTATCATTAGCACCGCTCCGTGCATTTGTTGATGCAGAACCGAGCTC